AATAAAATAAAACAAAATCTACTCATTTATTAACAGATGTTCTAATTCCGTAAAATCCCCGAACTCCTGGGATGAACCTCTTTTGGCTATGACATATTTATTCATTTAGTGATATGCTAGCTCCCATTTGTTAATGTTTTAGTTTTTAATTCAGGATTTCACAACAACATGACACTCACCTGATACTTTAATACATCTACATTATAGTAAGAGGCAGCTGGATTTTGCTCAGATAGCTTCTTGAGGTAGAGAGTAATAGCTTGCATGTTCATCCAAAAATCTTTTGTGTTGGAATCACACTGTGAAGGATCACTGCATGTATGAGAAACATTTTTGTTACTTTTATCTTTTTATTTTTCCTTTGCCTCTATGTAATAATTTAGTGATCTGAAGAATATTAGTAAAAGTGAACCAAACGAAAAGTAAGGGAGAACTAAGATTAGAGAATAAAGAATGGAACACAGCCAAAGCTTGCCTGAAATACAAAGACAGAGTGATACAGAATGACTTAAAAGTAACTATCACACCAAAAACAAGACAGCAGAGGGTGTTCAATAATAATAATAATAACAACAATAATAATAATAAACAGACAATTTTGGTATTGCCTCCAGTTGAATATTATTATTTCAAAGAAGAAAAACATTTACACAAACCTGAACACAAGTTGTGCATTTGGAAGAATTTGCTCAAGTCTACTGATATTTTTCACTCTGAAGCACAGCACAGCTGGGGAGGGATTGCTAGTGAAGACTTTAATAATTCCACTTGGAAATGATATTGTAACATCACCAGTGATCTTCACAATACACCTGAAATTGAAGATGTTGACAAGTTATTAAATAAGATGCTTGAATCTCCATGTAAAGCATATATAAGCAGAATTACGATAAAGAATACACACACACACACACACACACACACACACACAGAGTTATTCAATTTCTTGCTTTTTTTTTTTTTTTTTTTTTTGCAAAAGCGGGGATTGAACTCAGGCAAGTGCTTATTCTACTGAGCCATCTCCCCAGCCTCCTATTCAATTTATTTCTGCAATTTGAGTACAAAAAATGATTCTGCAGAAAATGACACACTCATCTAGCATCATCTTCTCCTGGAATTAAACTCCAAACATGAGTACAAACACACTGATAATGTTTCTTCTTTACACTATTTCTTAGGAGACCTGTAAGGTATCTGCTCCTAGAAACATCATCCCTAGTTGTAGTTACTTCCCCCTCTTCCAGCCTACATAGAACTGGGGTGGGCTGATGGTAGTGTTGTGGATGTCTCCCTTATTCCTCACTTCCTCTTGTAGCCCACTATGTCTTCTTCCTTTGAAACTGGAGTATTGCACCATATTACTCTTGGTCTAGAAATTTAGCTCAGTAGTTGAATGAAGGCACAGCACGCTTGAGGCCGAGCTGAATTCTTACCACCAAAAAGAAACCAGTTAACCAATCAACAGGTCATCTTTGTAACTCATTCTGCCTAGTACCATATCTTTAATCATTCTCAAACCTTATCAAAATTTCCACAATGCACTGTTCTTAGCACCTTTTTCATTATTCTTCAATCACCCATCAAACCCTCATTTCTTCCTATCTTTGGATTCCCAGGTCCATTGTTTCAACATTCTTTGCATAAACCCTCCATGGTTCTTCTTCCACTGTGCTTGATCAAATAGTCTCAGCTAAATCCAGCTCCCTACCCACACCTGTATAGCTGGATGTACCAGAGAAAACAAACTCTTTAACAGCCGCTATAGTGTGACCTGGTAATCTAACATGTTCATTCTTCTGCTTTTTTCATAGCTTCTCTTTGTCTTTTAAAAAAATTATTTATTTATTTTATTTCATTTATTTTGTGTGTGTGGCCAGCTCAGCCCACCAGGGGGCGGGGCTGGCTGGC